CAGGAATTTAGCAAAGAAAGAGTTTGCCTACATCAGCGAAAATCCTAGTAAAATGGTTGTGAGACACTTTTTCTATATTTGTATGATACTCTTGTGTGGCTTTTTGGTTAGACAAGTTGTGCCGAGTTGTAGGCAATTTCCCTAATGCTTGCAGGCAACTTTTGTTTTTGAAAAAATAAAATCATCAGTAGGATAGTGTTTTGCACTTTTTTCTGCTTGGCAAGTTGTGTTTGCGGTCTAGGCAAATTTTGCGAGTTAAAACCTATTTATGTAGCCAGCTTGTTACTTTGGTGCCAAAAAAGAGAAGGGGAAATCAAAAGCAAGTCTTCCTGTAATGTACGCAATTTGTATTTATGTTTCAGGCAACTCTCATTTTTGCCGAACAAAAAAGGCACCTACTAGGAATTCATAAAGAACATGTTGGAAAAAGCTCTGGGGGTTTTGTGAACTTTACCTGGAAGTTGCTGGTAAAACTTTTTGCTGGCAATAAAAGGGCGGCGTAGGAAGGAAGTATTCCTGTGATGTAGCAATTTGCACATAAGTTTCAGGCAACTCCCTTAATTTTTTGGGACAAAAAAAAACTAACAGCGAGCTACTTGGGAGGTAGAAAAAACTAGTTGAAAAGCTACTGGGGATGTGTGAAATTCACCTTGAAGTGGCTGGCAAAGCTTATTGCTTGCAAAGATGGAAAATAAAAAAAGCAAGTCCTGCTGGGATGTAGGCAAAATGCATATAAGTTTGAGACAACTCCTATTTTTTGCCGAAACAAAAAAACAAAACAAAAAATGGATAGCTTTGTGCAAAGCTTACCTGGAAGTGTATGTTGAAGCCTCTTGCTTGGGCGTGTGCACAAAACCTCGAAAATGTTGCTTTGACATCATTTGAGAATTTAGTGAGGCCCTTCAAGCAAAACAAACAATTTTTTTAGGCAAGAATATTTACAACACTTAGGTGATTAGGGGTAGCGTTTTGAGCAATGGTTTTCGTTTGCTCCAGCAAGAGCAGGTATTACTAGTCAAATATTCAAATATGATAGGATATGATAGTCATTGCAGTACAAGTAGTAGCAACCATACAAATGACTCAGAATCATGAATGCCACTACATCTTCTCTCTCTCTCTCATGTTCATCTTCTCTCTCTCTCTCATGTTCATCTTCTTCCCTCCCTCCCTCTCTCATGTTCATCTTCTTCTCTCCCTCCCTCCCCCCATCCCTCCCTCTCCCTCTCCCTCTCCCTCTCCCTCCCTCTCTCTCTCTCTCATGTTCATCTTCTTCTCCCTGCCAGGGGATGTCATAGATTAGCATAGCAACAATTTTTTATGCTTCTAGTCCGCATGAGGGATCTTTGTAGCCGTTGTAGGCCTCTAGACCTCTGTGGTAGTGCTGCAGGATCGAAGCAAATACAAAGGTGGGGCACGGCCAAGCTTTCAGGTTAAAGTGAGGAAGGGGGTATGCGTCTCTTGTGCAGATTGGTTTGTGTTATACAACTACAAGTATCCGTTCATGTGTAGTACTGTACGTAATACAATAAGTAGCCTCTATATTTGCCCTCTGCTCCAAGTGAAAAACGCTAAGTCAGGAGCAACTACTATAAGTAGCCACTATAAACTTGCACTGGGTTTGTAGGAAATTTCCATAAATTTTGTAGCCAATTCATTAGCTTGAATACCAAAGAAAAAATAAATAATGGAAGTCGGGAGAATCTACTACTTGGTTCATAGGCAATTTGACATGTTGCGAGAAAAAAATGTGGACTTATATTGTGTAGAACATCAAGTTGTGTTGTGTCAATGCACCAGTGGTTGAAGGAAAGTTGTGCTCTGATCTAAGAAAATTGCATAGCATATCCAGGCAACTCTAAGCTTTGTTTAGAAAAAGAGGATTGAAAGGTAGCAATTCGTATTGGGTTTGTAGGCAATTTCCATAGTTTTTGCAGCCAACTCATTGGTTTGCTAGCCGTAGAAAAAAAGTAGTGGAAGTCAGGAGCACCTACTACTTGGTTTGTAGGCAATTTGCCTACAAGTTTTAGGCAAAAAAAGTGGACCTATATTGTGTGGAACATCAAGTTGTGTTGTGTCCCCTGGGCAAATGTTTTAGTTGTTGTAGGCAAGTTGTGCTCTAATCTAAGCAAATTGCATACTATATCCAGGC